TCTGCGGCGAAGTTCTGCTCGAAGGAAGCCTCCAGTTGCTTCTGGGAAGAGGAATAGGCGTCGCAAGAGGAGTTGCTGAACTTCAGGATGGCCGCACTGTGGTCCTCGTCACGAACTTCCGAAATGAAGCGCAACACCTCACAAAAGGTGCAGCCGTGGGCCAGGTCGAGGAACTCCAAAACTCCGCCGCTGTCGCCGCCATTACTGACGAATTCTCGCCACCTCAGCAAGACAGTGCGTCGCCAGCGCAGCTCGACATTGACCCTAAACTCCCGGGCCCGAAACGACGACAGTTGATTAACCTTCTCGCCGAATACCGCGACTGCTTTGCCACGTCGTCGAAGGTGCGCCAAACCACCGTTGCGAAGCACCGCATCGTTACCGAGGACGACGCGCGCCCGGTGCATCGATCGCCATACAGAGTCTCCGTTAAAGAAAGGCAGGCGATCCAGGAGCAAGTTCAAGAAATGCTGAACGACGACATAATTCAACCTTCAAGCAGTCCTTGGGCCTCTCCAGTCGTACTGGTTAAGAAGAAAGACGGGACGCTTAGGTTCTGTGTAGACTACCGGCAGCTGAACACGGTGACGAAGAAAGACGTCTACCCACTCCCCCGCATCGACGACACTCTAGACCGGCTGCGCCACTCTCGATATTTCTCATCGATGGACCTGAAGAGCGGCTACTGGCAGATCGAAGTCGACGAAAGGGACCGAGAAAAGACAGCCTTCGTCACGCCGGATGGACTGTACGAGTTCAAAGTGATGCCCTTCGGACTGTGCACGGCGCCAGCAACTTTCCAACGTGTCATGGACACCGTACTGGCAGGACTAAAGTGGCAGAGCTGTCTCGTCTACCTCGACGACGTCGTCGTGTTTTCCAGCGACTTCGACGAGCACTTGCGACGACTCCGAGCAGTTCTCCAAGCCATACGGACCGCCGGACTCACCCTGAAGCCGTCAAAGTGTCGGTTCGCTTATGACGAACTGAAGTTCCTCGGCCACGTGGTTAGTAACGAAGGTGTCCGCCCAGACCCCGAGAAGACTCGTGCCGTCGCAGCATTTCCAGCGCCAAGAGACAAGAAGGCCGTCCGAAGGTTCCTTGGGCTATGTGCCTACTATCGGCGCTTCGTTCGAGATTTCGCAAGAATTTCCGCACCGCTCGCACACCTCACGAAGGACGCCGAGAAGTTCGAATGGGCCGATGAACAGCAGCAGGCATTTGACGAGCTGAAGCGACGACTACAGACTCCTCCTGTTCTTGGACATTTCGACCAGGATGCGGAAACCGAGATTCACACGGACGCAAGTAACGCAGGGCTTGGCGCGGTTTTGGTTCAAGTACAAGAAGGCACCGAGCGAGTCATCGCCTACGCAAGTCGGACATTGACCAAGGCGGAGAGAAATTACTCCACGACTGAGAAAGAATGCCTTGCGGTCGTCTGGGCAATCACGAAGTTTCGTCCGTACTTATACGGGAGCCCGTTCCGGGTAGTCACGGACCACCACTCGCTCTGCTGGCTTGCGAACCTCAAGGACCCGTCAGGACGCCTCGCGCGGTGGAGTCTCCGACTACAAGAGTTCAACATGACCGTCGTCTACAAGTCAGGCCGCAAGCACAGCGACGCCGACTGCCTGTCCAGAGCTCCCGTCGCAACACCTTCCGGCAGCAGCGACGACGATGACGACGAGTGTTTTCTGGGCGCAGTGAACATCGACGACATGGCCCGGCGTCAACGAGACGATCCTGAGCTGCGCGCACTAATAGAGCACCTGGAAGGGCGCGGGAGTGCGATGCCACGTGTTTTTTCACGAGCGCTGCCGACCTTCGCCATTAGACAAAATGTACTCTACAAAGAGAACTTCGGGAACAACAACTCGCCATGGCTGCTGGTAATCCCGACCGACCTTCGGGAGGAGATCTTTCAAGCCTGCCACGACGACCCGACGTCCGGACACCTTGGTTACAGCCGGACCCTGGCACGTATTCGTGAAAAGTATTACTGGCCCAAGCTCCCCAAAACCGTCCACCTGTACACGCGATCATGTCATGAATGCCAGCGACGAAAGAAACCTCCGACGAGGCCGGCCGGACTCTTGCAGTCAATTCCTCCGCCAACAGCACCCTTCCAGCAGATCGGAATGGATCTACTTGGCCCTTTTCCGCCGTCGACGTCGGGAAATCGCTGGATCATCGTCGCCACAGATTATCTTACGCGGTATGCCGAAACGAAAGCCCTTCCTTCCGGAACTGCTGTGGAAGTTGCCAAGTTTTTCATTGAATCCATCGTCCTCCGGCACGGCGCTCCCGAAGTCCTGATCTCAGACCGTGGATCATCATTCATGGCCCAGCTGACGCAAGAAGTCCTTCGTCTCAGCCACACCAGCCATCGCCGCACCACAGCGTACCACCCGCAGACCAACGGGCTGACGGAGCGACTCAACAAGACAATCGCCGATATGATCTCTATGTACGTCGACGTAGAGCACAAGACGTGGGACGAGGTGCTGCCCTACGTCACGTTCGCCTACAATACGGCGGTTCAAGAGACCACTGGATTCACCCCTTTCCAGCTGGTACATGGTCGGAAGGTAACGACCATGCTGGACGCCATGCTGCCCCATGAGCCATCTGACAACGAGAGCGACGACGCCCAGGCGGTTGCTCAACGCGCCGAAGAAGTTCGCCAGCTCGCCCGACTCCTGATTCAAGACCAGCAACGCGTCGACGCCGGCCGCTACAACCTTCGTCGCAGGGACGTCCACTTCCAGCCCGGAGATAGGGTGTGGGTATGGACGCCCATCCGTCGCCGCGGCCTCAGTGAGAAACTGCTGAAACGGTACTTTGGACCATACAAGGTACTTCGTCGCCTCGGCGAACTGAACTACGAGGTGATGCCCGACGGAACACGAACATCGTCACGCCGCCCACCACGACCTGAGGTCGTCCACGTCGTGCGCCTGAAGCCGTACTACGCTCGATAGGACTGTGGACCTTTTGTGCTCCAAAAGACTCTTTAGTTTATTGTTCTTTTTTATTTTGATTTGTTTTACACTGCATCGGGGCGATGCACTTTTAAAGGGGGGAGTAATGCCGCGCGCAAGGCTGAGAAAGCAACGCTCGGTCACGGCCCTCCAGAAAGTTCCCGTTTATTCATGTACCGCACGTAACTTCTCTCATTTATCCCTGCTTTTGTTTTCTAGAAAGTGCGTGTTCATTCTCGCCCCGATCACGCGACGCTCGAACCGCTTTCGCCGAATCTTCGAGATAGCGGCGCACTCTAGATAAGAGGCCGCCCGCGACCTTGTCGAGTCAGTCTCGCCCTAGCGCTCGATTCCGCTGACACGCCGACTTCGACGCCCGCGACGCTCTGCTTTCTTCTGTTTCCTTCTTTATTTGTTTGGCACAAGTTCGCCACATTAAACGTTTATTTCTTTCTGTTTATTTCCTGTTTTTTGTTTGGTCACCACCCGTGACAATATCAGGACCTAAAAGTCACGAAAAAAATTGGCAAAATAGTGGGATGTATTTTGTATCCCGATGGTATCACTTGATTATCGTGTCTGCCGAGGCTACACTGCACCGTGACACTCGTGCTGCTTGCGCCAACCTTTGAATGGATAAATACACTCAAACTCCTTCAATCGGGTGGCGGCTTGCGCCACCTAGCCAAAGCCTTCACTGCCTCTCCCCAGCGCATGGCAGTGAAAGGCAATGAAGTGGCTGATTTCGGGGAGAGTCTGGGTTAGAGCAGTAGGGTGGGAAATTATGCTGTCTACTATTCAAGTTGAGCCCCTTCGGTCTTGATTGTGGGTTGACTTCTAATTTTAAAAGGCTCTGCGGAGGAAGAGGAACAAACATGGCGGTCTTGTTTGAATAAATACGGTAGTCAACCTGGTTCCCATGCAGCTGCCTACCTAAAGACCAGCGAACTTGACTGCACTTTGGTTGGTGGCTCGGGAGCAAAGCACCGGCTTACGGATCTCCAAGTGGCGGGTGTGAATGACTGAGGCATATGGGCATATGGCGGAGAAGGTGCCGTGTCACTGAACTTTCAGTTGCACGTCAAAAGATCCCCAGGTGGTAGAAATTAATCCTCAGCCCTCCACTGGTTCGTGCCAGATGCCCTTCGTTGGTTTGGATTGTAAAAACCCCCAATATTTGATTCTGACTACACTCTGGTTCCAACGCCACGAACTAGCAGTGTCACGAGTGTAGGTCCCATGGTATTGGGGTGGTTGTTTTTGAAGTTTATGATGTTAAAGGCTCATTTTTATTTATAGACATTTTGACAAATTTGCCAGTTTTTGCAGGCATAAGAATAGATATTTACAGGCTAAATAAATTATCAAGTGCAAAAGGGGGAGGGGGTGGGAGGCTTTATCTCAACTGAAGTGTTGCAATTAGATTAATTTTTCGACCGTTTTATTTCATACCCATTGTATATGGAACCTACCCTCACCAGAGGCTGATTTCTAAAAAGCAGGCTCTCTGTTCCCTTTGGGGCCCTATGTATTCTTATTACAAAATATGCTTCGGTATAAAAGAGGAACCCTCAATCATTATCAAAGATTAACTTGAACATTGATGCCATCACTTTTTTTATTTTCAAGCGATATGCTAACAGGTGTTGGCACCAAGCATGTGCTCCAAAAGCGTCACGAGCTCCTCCAAGGCAATATTTTGCCCGCTACAAAACCTGCTATAGAGGATCAGATGTGTCTTCCATCACTGTCTTTAATGGGACAGGTTGTGCCCACTGCTTGAGTTAAGAATTTAGTGGGGGGAAGAGAGAGCAACAGTACACAACAACAATGATGACACCTGAAGTAGGCCTGGTTGTTACCTACAGGTCTGATGTCAACAGCATTTGCACAGTGTTTCTACTGTTCTTCATCTATGATGTGAAAACTGAACCAAGCTTGTACATTTCTGGCATATACATTGTGTGATGACACACATTTTTTGGCATACTTCATATATTTTTCCATCCTTTCCAGGTTGCCTGCTGGAATGCACCTAAAGGCTGCAACTTCATTGGCACTGCAGCCAGCCTGTTGGACCACTACAAGGAGTGCGGCTTCAGCGTCGTGCCTTGCTGCCTGTGCCGCTCTTCAGTGTTTCAGTGTGACATTTTGGAGCACTTCAAGAGTGGATGCAGCATTCGCGGAGCAAAGTGTGTGCCTCCCGACAACCTTGCCACAGGAGACCTCAAGGACGTCGGCAGTGCTTGTCTCGAGATGAAGAGAGCCACGGGAAAGATCTCCGAGGACCTCATGTCGCTGCAGACCAGCCTGAACCGGTGCAGCGAAGACGTCAGGGCGGAGGGTGCAAGATGCAAGGGCCAATTGGAGGCTGAGGCTTCCAAGCTTGCTGAACAGCTCAACAGCCTTAACACTGTCTGCACCACTGGTTTTGCCAAAGAACTGCAGGTTCTTCAGGCAGCGATGGCAGACTACAAAGACCATGTGAGCAAGCAGCTGCGTTTGCGAAGCAGTTGTAAGCCTGTGAGGGTCCACTGGTTCATTGAGGGGTGGGCAGACCTAAAGAAGAAAGCACTTGAGGTGGGGTTGCATTCGTTAAATAGTCCCACAATGACCATTTACGGTTATAGTGTCTCCCAAGTTTTTAAACTTTGTCTAAAGGAAGGTAACGACCGGATTGGGTGCTTCATGCGGATACACCCCGGGAAACAGGACCTGGAGCTGGAATGGCCCTTTCGCAAGGTTTACAGGGTTGGTGTCATTCACCCCAAAGACCAATCAAATGTGATTTCATGCACGGTAAATCCTGGTAACGGTGAAGATGAACACCAGCAATGCTACCTGAGGCCCAAAGAAAACCCAAATGTTGCATGTGGAGCAGACCTGACAACAGCCGAGAAGCTTGAAACGGGTGGGTTTGTACAAAGCAATACGCTCCACGTGTTCTTAGAGGTAGAGCCCTAATCTCTCCATATTTGCCATACCCTAATTAGGGTTAAGCAGGTACTGGTTTGTTTAGCTTTGCAACATGAACTTTTAACTTTTTTGAGAGCCCGCTATAGGAAAAGCATTGTGACTGTTTTACTTTCCTTGTGCGTAACATTACAGTGTGCTGTTTAGAAAAATGTTGCTTTGTGAGGTGGTGTTTTAACTTGAATTAACCATGTTAGTTTTGTGAGATCTCCAATATTTTTTTCAACTAGTTGAGAGCCTGCAAGAGATACTTCTGTGTCAATACTTTTATTGTTGCATTTGCTATCAATTTGGATTGTGAGTAGTGAACATCCCTTAGGCCTGCTTACATCTGTTTGCTTTTTTGTATTTTATTTTGGTTTTAGTTTTGATTGCAGACTAATCAGCTTTTGGACTTTACAGCTAATTTAGAATGCAAACAGTCAGGAGCGATATTTTAGTTATGCTTGTATAAATGTTGTTTCTTTTGATGGGAACTTCATTTTTTATAAATTCAGCTTTCGCTTTGACTGTATCCAGTTGAGTTTTTTAGTTGTTCAACTTCATAGTGCTGTATGGTGTTTCGATTAAGGGTTACAGTCAAACTTGTTTATAACGAACAGCAGGAAACGCTATGATCAGTTCGATATAGCAAGTAATTTGATATAGCAAAAAACATTTACGACAAACTTCCACGATACGTTCGTTGTAAGTGAAGAGCTTCTCTTTCTTTCTCATCTCTTCGCTTCCGCCTTTTGACAACGCACTGAAAAGTTTTTTTTTGCATGCGTGTAGTTTTTTTTTAGCTTATTTCTCCTTTCGAATAGCTTCTCTTCGTGGGCAACGGTTTTGTGATGAAAAAATATTTCTTTTGCGCGTGCATGCAGAGTGTATTTTTTAGCTTTCTCCCCTTCTGAATCACTTCTCTTTGCTCAATTTTGTTTGCAACTTGAGCTTTTGTCATTTTCTTTCTTTTTTACATTTTTTTTTTTCTTGGGGGGGGGGGGGGGAGGCTAGAAGACGGTTGTTTGTGCGTTTTTGGAAGCCTTCCAGGGGGAAAAAAAGTTCATAGGCAATATGTTGTTCGTTATAAAAAGCACTTTTTACATGCATTTTTATTTAAATTTTTTGTGAGTTCGATATCGACAATAATTCGCTGTACGTGGGTTCGTTCTAAACGGGTTTCACTGTATTTCAGACACATGTTTAGAAAATCGTGCACTGTGTACAACAGAATATACTCATTACTACTCAATACATCTTTTTCTATCTTCCATTGCACTATCTCACTTTCTGAAATATAGCAACTCTCAATGTATTTACCCCACTTGAAATTATAAAAAAATGAGAACAATGGATAGAAACAAAACTGACGCCTGTTTATCGAGACCAATTGATAAATACTGAAATTCACTGTTTCTTAAGACTGTCCAATGACGTGCAGTAGAGCTCTGCTCGGGGCTGTGCCAACTCGGAGACCCAGCCCACGATTCGGGCCTGGTCCGATTTTCGGGTCTTGGCCGGGTCTGGGCACTGGAATAGGGGTCTGCTCAGATAAGGACGGTCATGGTGGTGTCATGCCTATTTTTTTTCTCAGACACATTTTTATATGAGGTAGCTGAACCTGTCCACGCAACGGGACAGACCTTACTTTTGCAAGATAGTTCTTTGTATTCGTGAGAAAAATCGCATTTGAGAGAAGATGGAAAAAACGATTGTCCCAACTGCACGACGGCGCAAATTTGAAGGCTGGAGAAATAAAGAATGCAGCTTTCTACACAATCAAATTTTTTTAAAGTTTATTGCACGCATACTTTACTGCCAGAATTAGTAAAAGTAAACTTATATGAGCATATATTTCAAGTGAAATAAAATGCCGAACTTGGCTCCTGGAGCAAACCTTATGTAATGAGGCATTTTTCGGCGAATTTTTAAGTCGCTTCAAATTTATATTCTAAAGCTGGAACTTGTTGTGTCAAGTGTTTAATGCTTTGCGAATTTTCAGCAAATTAATTAGCATTCTACTGTTGAAAGTGTTTTCTGCATTGCGCCCAAAAATTCCATCAAAATAGAAAAAGTCAAAATTTTGCAATTTTCGTACGGCAATTAAAAAAAAATTATTCTCGATTTCATTTAAATTCTACCCGATGGGCCCTTGATGACCGGTAATCACAGATCTGCAAAAACATGTTGCCTTATTTCGTTTTAAAACAAGAAAATAAATGTGTAACCAAGTCGTGGTCGCATCAATTTCAGTTGGGGCGTTTCTGTCCTAATGACTAGTGGTAGACGAGCGACGCGTGCCGCAGTAACAGTGCTTGGTCACATTAATGCCCAGGCGCCACGAAGCACTCTAAAAATAGTACGTGAACTTGATTCATCACTCATGTGACTGATATTGCCAATGAAAACTGAACGTTGCGGCCCGTCCGTTCCATGTCAGGGTGTTATACTTGGCTGGTTAAATATTCATTGTGCTACCCATTTCAAGTTAGTACTTTACTATTAGTACCTGGCTGACGAAATGATTTGATTCATATTTCTGGGCATCGCTCAAAAGCTTGCTGACAAAATAGTTTTATTCATTTTTCTAGTCATCACATGGAACAAGCGACATTGCGAAAGTTCCTTCTTCAACCGATGTGCGGTCGTGTCTAGGGCGTTCCGCCCTAGACACGACCGCACATCTCGAGAAAGACAATGGGGAATGAGTGGAATTCAAGGTTGAGTTAAAGGGATGCTGAACCGAAATCTGGACCCCACAAAACACGTGGAAAAAGCGTGCAACGAGATGCTACAAACACCAAAACATCACTCATACAGCGATATCTTGAACGGATGACCGTATTTTTCAAGAAAAGGAGGCGCATTTAACAGAAATGTTCACGTCATGTTTTTTCGAGAATAAGAGGGAACGGCCTCGCGTCTTCTCCGCCTCGCAGTCTTGAGGGAGCGAAGCGAAGAGGGGAGGAAACTGGGTATCTTCATGTCACGCGCCTCGTCGGCCTGGTTCAATCTCAACCTCTTTTTCCAAAAATACAGCCGTCCATTCGAGATATTGCCTTACGAGTAGTGTTGTAGGGATTGTAGCGTCCCGCCTACGTCTCCTACATTGTTTTTTTTCTGAAATACAAATTTCGGTTCACCATCCCTTTGAAGGGGATTTACATAGCGTAAACGGTTCAGCGCCGAAGGCAACAGCCAAGTGTGCCCTCGGGCGATACTCAATGTCGCTCCAACAGGATGTCTTGTGACGCCTCAACCGCAAACAGAAAACCCATGATCTGTGACTGGGTCGGTGCAAGAGAGTTATCGATCTGGGGAAATATTTTTATGAAATTCCAAGAGGGTCAAAGAGTGTAAAAAGCTGCAGATGTTTATTTGCAATGAGAACACTCTTTGTGTGAATTAGCACGCGTGTCTATGAAGGCACTCTAGTGTGAAGCAGCCAGCGCCGCCACCTAATGCCAAGCCATCGCCACGCGCACAGGTTCGTGGTTCACTATAAACAGAAAATAAAGAAAGAACTGAAAGAGAACTAAAGAAAGGCCATAAAGTCTTAGCACTTCACCCTGCCGGTGCGCGGGCGGCAAAGTTTCAGCTTCCGTCCGAGCGCAGCCAAAGGCTGAGGGACGGTTCGCAACATCGAAAAGAGCATTCCTACGCACCACAAAATAGTCCGCAAAAGTAAATTTTTTTTTTTTAAATAACTGTTTTGTGCTAAACATTGCACAATATTCCAGATGTGTACTGCTGAGAATGATTTGCACCTACATCCGTTGTCAACATGGCTGCAGCGCTCGGTTTTTTTGTGTGATTTCGTTTCTGTAATGGCCGAATTATGTGCTTCGCTGCTTTCCCCACCGAGTCGCTTCAAAACGTCCTTTCGCAAAGGCACGTTTGGGCGTCAGGCGCGAGAGGAGGTGATGAATGTCTACTTTCAAATTCGGCAGGAGACTCCGGCCGCGTCGTACTGCGAATGCGCTGTAAACAAGAAAAGCGTCCGGGTCACTACAATTCACTGATAGGCGGCGAAATCAGGCACCCCTTTACCTGCCGATCACATTGAACGCCAAGAAGCTGGTGGAAAGAACTGCGCCTCGAGTTTGTTATATCCAAACAATACAAGGAAACGTCAACGGCCGGGTCATCGGGTGCCTTGCAATGTGTACTTACATCTCGAGACTATGCCGAAATGCCGAACAGGTGGAAAGCTCGGACAGAGATGCCAGCGGCCAGCCTACGTACTGACATTCCTGTGACTAAATTTCAGAGCGTGAAAGGGTGCTTTTTAAACCTGTAGCAGACAATACCGTTGACACACCCGTAGCAGACGAAATCCTCGGCGAGCGCGGGCGGCGCAGCGGAGTGATACAAAAGTGCAGGTGAGATCGCGTGACCTATTGCCGGCGTGTGATTGGCTCCGGCCACACGTAGCTTTGACTGCGCTCGGACAGAAGCTCCTTGCACTGACGTCACATCGCGTACTTTTGAACACCATGTAAAAGGTGGAGAGGGAAGCTGCTTTTGTACGAATTCTGAGTGCCAGGTTAGTCTTCTCAAACCGTCTGGGAGGAGAATAGCGAAGTCTGTGCATATCCGGGAGGCACAAAGGAGGATCCTGGAAAAGAGGGGAGCTCCTTCTTCCCCTTTTCTCTGGATGGCATCGGAAATGACGTCATGTGCAAGCCACGCGAGTACACAGAAGAAATCCTAAAATCCTGAATTACTACCAACTAGATTGCAATACTGAGGAGCTAGCGGATGGAGGGAATGTAATCTGTCACAGTCCGGGAGTTACGGCCTCTTCCGTTGCATTGTCCAAAGGGGGTGGAACTGGTGGATTCCACGGTGGGCTAGGGGGCAGCTCGATGAGGCCAGCCACACACACACACACACTTCTTGCGGAGGCCTCCCCAGCACGGACCTTGTCCAGTCACCATCGCTTTTCCCGGGCTCGATCCGCTTTTTTGCAGATTTTGAATATCAAGGCTCCGCAAGTTCAGAGCAGACTTTGTGTTCACACAGGTTGCATTTCCTGCGAGACGAAAACAACGGGGTTGAAAGCGCGATATATCAAACCAAGTGCAGGAAAGACTTGGAACCATTCGTCCTGCGGGGTCTTGTTTATATTGAGGGGCATAGAAATTCGGAAACTGATGTACACCTGGGTCAGTCTCCGGGTAATTCAACGAGAGTAGTCACTAATGTATCGGGGCG